TATCTGCAGCCTAGTCTCTCAAGCTGCAATTTTATAGTCTAAGCGATATTCTGGTAAACTTTGTGCCCAGTCTAGTGAAACTTCCTCTCGTCTAATGAGGTGACCAGAACTAGTCCCCAGCTAGACCTCTGTCTATAACTAGAGTTGTGTGGCTATATTTTGTCACCTCTCCACGCTAGTATTCTATGCCTTGGAAAGGAAAGAACTTGATGGCAGTCTTAACAATCACCAACTTGCCCTACTTTATTTTTGTGAATCTGAACATATATCCTGAGATGTCTAGATATTTTCTAATCAACTTAGTTACTTGAAGTGTCATAGCATCTGGAGCATGTGGGACATCTTGCCAGGTCTCCTGGCTTAGAGGTAAGGGTGCTGCTACTGCAGCACAAGAACTTCCTCTTGATATCTATCATCCCACTTGTGCATTCTTGTACCTTGTTTCACCTCACTAATGGAATTAAGCCCATAAATCACTTTTTTTCTCACTGACCAGTCCACTAGTATCGTTTTGTAGACTGTTTCCTTCATGTCGACCAAGTGGCTAACTTGTCATCTGCAAACACTTGATCACACCCTGAAGTAGTCAAAATCATTAACATACCCCCAAAGTGGGATCTAATATTAAACCTTGTGGAACCCTGTAGTGTTAAACATCTGTAAGCTTTCAACCTTTGTTTTCTGCCACTGAGCCAATTTTATATCCAACTTGCTACATTCCCTTGAATCCCTTGGGCTTTTATTTAAATATTCTGTGACCTTGTCAAAAGCCTTAAGTCATTTTTGACCATATGACTACTCCACACTAATCCATATCAGTTTAGTTTAGTCAAGTTAGTTAAAAGTTAGACATTAACTTGCCTTTAAATCTGTGCTGACTGTCCTTGATTGAACTGCCACTAACAGTAGAGTAGTCTCAATTGACTCCTATATTTTGTCCACTACCAAGGTTAGACTGACCTGGAAATCTGGTTGTAGGAAGTTTTTATGGCACTAATTTAGTGGTTTCTCCTTGATTTAGCTTTTAATTCATGTTTAACTGACTTTTGATACCAATGTTAAAGCATCTTAGTCATTGCTTGCTAAAGTCAATGAAGCTATATAAATGACTTGAAAATGAACTTCAAAAAAGCAACAGGTTTGAAGTTCAATTTCAGGCAACTTTTGCAGACTCTGACTTGCCTAAGTCTTTTCAATGCTGACCACTGGAAGAATGCATCTGGGGACTAGAGGCTTAACTAACAAGTGCTGGATATATCCTGCTTCTTTCTAATAATAGAAGTAATTTTAATATTTTAATATTCCTCCACTCAGTGGGCATAGAGGAATTGAGTGCTAGAATTCAACTGAGATGTGGTTTTTTCTAATCTTGTTTTCAGACTCCTGGACTCAGGGCAGTGGGCAATATTGTGACTGGTACAGATGATCAGACACAAATTGTCATTGACTCTGGTGTGTTGAACTACTTTGGTTCTTTACTTGCTCATCCAAAGAGCAACATCCAAAAAGAAGCTGCCTGGACAATCTCTAACATTACAGCTGGAAAGCCAGAACAAATCCAAGCAGTTATTGACAATGGATTGGTTCCACCCCTTATTCAATTGCTTAGAAAGGTGAGTAGTCTAAAGTGTCTGGGTAATCTCCCTTCCAAGGAGTCTTGTTAACTTATTGGGAGCTAACCTCTAGAATTTACACGTTCTGCTTGAACTCTGGAATGTTGTCAGAAAATCCTTGTTGCCCAACCTATACTTATTTCTTAAGTAAGCCTGCTCACTACTAAACTTTTTTTTCTTACTTGGCATTCTTTTGATTTGACATCCATCATTCCCCTTGCATGTACTATGGGATCCTAAGGGTGCACTTTAAAGTTGACCATGAGGATTTACAGGAACTAAAATATTATTTACAGGAGACAAATGACACTAGACTTATCTGGGATGGTAGATTAAGGCATTCATGGTCCTGTTCGACTATAGTGCTGTCTGATTTTAATGGTTTAACCTGAGGGCCACCCCCTTGGGTAAGGGAAGAGATTGAGTCCTCCTTTATAGTAACCACAGCCAGTGTGGGAATTGAACCAATGCTGTTTGCATCACTCTGCATTGCAACCCTCAATAAATCAACAGGCAACTGTAAGTACATTTTTAAGAACTGTTCAACACAAGTGATCTAGGTTTGGAAATGCAGGTTGTAAAAAGTTACTCCTTGCCACAGGAATCCCTTGGAGCTTTCATTTAAAGTCCACTTGTTGATCCTGTTTTACACAGGATGGGCAAGAGGGTAAGTGATATCAGTCTTGATTTGAGTCCTGTAAGGCTTAAATTTGAACAACATGTCTGTCTGAACTTTAGACAGATGACAGATTGAACTGGTAAGTAGCCTCCTGTTGAGCAATGACAATCTCTCTCCTACCAATTGCATGACTTAAACAGCAGCTTAATTGGGTTAAATATTTGCTGCCACTATAGCTCAGCAAATAATACTTTTGAGTTAATCCCCATTGCAGACACTAGTGTATGTCTCGGTCTACTGACTTTCAGTACTAAAAGGGAGCATTGCAGACTGTATTTCAAATCCATACTCCTTCCTTCAAATGAGCAAAGATCCTGATGTCATTCATGTCACTTGGTGATTCCAGCTGCTCCCAAGCTATGTTCTTCTGTATTACATTATAAGCAACCTGTATGACTCTTCACCTTTTTTTATTCCACAGGGTGACTTTAAGTCTCAGAAAGAAGCTGTCTGGGCTGTAACAAACTACACCAGTGGTGGTACAATTCAACAAATTATCTACCTTGTTCAATCTGGAGTTATTGAGCCATTATTGGCCCTGCTGTCAGTCAAAGACTGCAAGACTATCCAAATCATTTTGGATGCTATTGCTAATATATTTCTGGTAAGATTTTTATCACTGTTGATATAAACCACCGGCAGCATCCAGTCTTGTCCACTTAGCTTGAGCACCATACTGTTGAGTAATGTGACTACAAGAACTAGTGTCTATAACATGTCAGTCAGGGAAATTGTAACATTGCAAAATGCTGAAGATTATTGTCTCAGCACATGGGTTAATATTGTGAAAATTTTACTTAGGACTTGAGGTTTTTCTAGACTTGCCTGTCTAAAATGTACTCTTGTGGAACTAAGCAATAAGAGCAAGAGGGGTGATTTTTTTAATTTGCCAAGATTGCAAAATTTGAGGCACATCAACTCTTGACAATTTGGTCAACACGTAAGTAAGCATACTTCTCAAGGCTGCACTTCAAGCCTGGTTTTTCACTATGTTTGTATACTCGACAGGCTGCAGAAAAAGTCAATGAAACAGATAAGCTCTGTCTCGTGATAGAGGAATGTGGAGGTCTTGATAAAATTGAAGCTCTGCAATCTCATGAAAATGAGCAAGTGTACAAAGCTTCCCTAAACTTGATAGAAAAGTACTTCTCTGAAGAGGTAAGTGGAAGTAGTTGAAGTTGAATGTGATTTCATCCTATTCATTGGCAAACTGCCATTTCAGTCATGGAGGTAAATGAATCTGTTTGATAGTTGGTTTTGATCCCACTTGGATCAATCCTATTTCAGCATCTAACCAATATTTATATGAACCTGGTGAAATTGCACTGCATCACAAACATTGAATGAGATTGAACAAACAAATGAAATTTTTTAAATTGCTCAAGATTCCACTATCCAGATTAATTGCATCACCTGAATTAACATCTGGCCCCTGAACTGCTTTTATTACTAGAAATTAACTTTTTTATATTTGGAAGCGTTTCCTCTTGGTGTTCAATTGTATTGATCTACCTTTTTTCTTTTTTAGAATGAGGAAGACCAGAATGTTGTACCAGATTCTACTGAAGAAGCTTTTACGTTTCAGGCTGAGAACCCTACTGTGACTTTTGACTTTTGAATGACAATGACATTTCCAACTTTTTCTGTTTAGTCAGTACTTGTAACTGTCAAATGTGGTCTATCACTTCATACTTAATCCATGACTATCCACTGTACATTTGTATAAAAAATTTCAACTTTTTGTAATTAAACTTTGGAATGTAAATACTTCAACTTCTGGTATCTATTACTCTTGTCTGGTATGGAGGGTGGTAGACACTTGTTTAATTGAAACCAAATTAGCATTAAGTCTTCTAGAAATGTTTAACTCTGCCAATAGTAATATGCAACAGAATTAGAGATTTGTAATCCCTAAAGGGACTCTTAATAGACCCATGGTGCATGATGTGATGGGTGCTTGAGTGAGGGACTTTGAATCATGAGACTCATGATTCATAGGTAATTCTTACTCTACTAACCATGAAATGGTAAGGGTTAGTTTACTGTAAAAATGTTTGTGTAGGGTGGAAAGCTTAGCTTCTCTTCCTTCATCCACTTTTTCCTCTTTCCAAGAGCTAGCAAATGTATTACATTTGGTGCAACCGAAGTTGTTACAAACGAGTAATAAAACAGAGGGCAGGCTCCAGCGAGCCTTGTCTTTAGAGAACATGTTCTCTAATGTGTGAGGACAAAGTTAGAAAAATACCATTCCCAGTAATAGGGGACAGATGGGTAAAAGTTGGTGTTTGATCAGCTTTGACTGTATTGAATGGCCTGACATGAGGCAGAGATGCAATTCATCTAAGATGTGTTGCTGGCTAGGCCAGCATTCACTACTAATCCCTGTTGTCCAGCAGCTAGTTCTTGTGTTTTTTTTTTTTTTTAAAAATTGCTGTGGGTCTGGAGTCACATGTAGGCCAGGTCGGGATGGCAGTTGCCTTGCCTAAAATGGCATTAGTGAATCAGATGGGGTTTTTGACTGGATTCAGGTTATTAGATTGTTCTGTACTTCTATTCAAATTCTACCATCTGTCATTAGTAGGCTTGGAACCTAGTTTTCCAAGATTTTAACCCAGTGACACTTGGCATAACATCTGTAACTGTTTCAGCTCCTCACTCTTGGGTTCTTCTAGCTGAAAAAACAGTATAGATGTGTTTGCTCTAGATCTGTTTGTAATTCCATTTACAAGTTAAGATTTGACCCACTATGGTTTTGTCATCAGTAAAACAGTACAGGAAAGTGAGCTTCGTAGCACAGAAAAAAACAATTAGTAGAACTCCAGACCTAGTTATTGACTTCAGGAAACAGGGTCTGTTCTCCACTCTCTATCAATGGTGCTGAGGTAAAGATTGGTGATATTTACTCCTTGGACTCAATCAATCAATCTGTTATGGTTCATCCATGGTCAAGAAAGCACACCACTGCCTCTACTTCCTCAGGCTAAGGAAGTTAAGCATGTCCACAATAACTCTTGCCATTTTACCATAGAAAGCATCCCCTTTCAGCTGTATCACAGCTTTGTATGGCAACTGCTCTGCTCAAGACTGCAGGAAACTGAGTGCTGGGAGGGACAGGTTGCCAGGTAAGGAGGTGGGAGGGTTGGGAGTGGGCAGATTTTGAAGCTGGTGAATTATGTTTTAGGTCATCAGGCTATAGGCTCCCAAGGTGGAATGAGGTGCTGCTCTTCCAGTTTGTAGGTGTTATGATACTGGAGGATGCACAGGATGGACATTCAGCCCAGAGGGGAGTTGAAATGGTTTGTGACTAGAAGATGTTGTTTTTCATGAACAGAGCACAGGTGCTTGGCAAAGTGGTCTCCAAGCCTGATGGCCACCTCTACATAAAGAGCAGTAGATAAAGTTGATGGATGTGCAGTTGAGCCCCTGTCTGATGTGGAAGATTTGTGCCTTGAATGGAGGTGAGGGGACAGGTGTAGCACTTCCTGTGGTTTGTAGGGAAAAGTTCTGGGGTTAGTAGGGAGTGTGGAGTGGATGAGAGACATGTCCTGACAATAAGTAGACAGGGGTGGGGAAGGAAATATGGGGTTGGATTGTGGGTGGCAAAAGTGGTGGAGAATGTGTTGGCTGTGGAGGGGGTGGGGTGATGAGGACAAGGAGGATTCTGTCTTTAGACATAGTAGGAACGGCAGATGCTGGAGAATCAGATAACAAGGTGAAGAGCTGGCTGAACCAAGCAGCAGAGAAGTAGGAAAGCTGATGTTAACAGACATCATAGAACTTTACAGCGCAGCACAGGCCCTTCAGCCCTTGATGTTGCACCAACCTGTGAAACCAATCTGAAGCCCATCTAACCTACACTATTCCATTATCATCCATATGTTTATCCAATGACCATTTAAATGCCCTTAAAGTGGGTGAGTCTACTATTTTTGCAGGCAGGCAGGCATTCCATGCCCTTACTACTTGGAGTAAAGAACCTACCTCTGACATCTGTCCTATATCTATCACCCCTCAATTTAAAGCTATGTCCCCTCATGCTAGCCATCACCATCCGAGGGCTAAAAGGCTCTCAATGTCCACCCTATCTAATCCTCTGATCATCTTGTATGTCTCCTATTAAGTCACCTCTTAACCTTCTTCTCTAACGAAAACAGCCTCAAGTCCCTCAGCCTTTCTTCATAAGACCTTCCCTCTATACCAGGCAACATTGTGGTAAATCTCCTCTGCACCCTTTCCAATGCTTCCACATCCTTCCTATAATGCGGTGACCAGAACTATATGCAATACTCCAAGTGCAGCCGCACCAGAGTTTTGTACAGCTGCAACACGACCTCATGGCTCTGAAACTCAATCCCTCTACCAATAAAACCTAACACGCTGTACGCCTTCTTAACTACCCTATCAACCTGGGTGGCAACTTTCAGGGATCTATGCACATGGACACCGAGATCTCTCTGCTCATCCACTCTACCAAGAATCTTACCATTAGCCCAGTACTTTCTATTCCTGTGAAGTGAATCGCCTCACATTTTTCCGCATTAAACTCCATTTGCCACCTCTCAGCTCTGCAGCTTATCTATGTCCCTCTGTAACCTGCAACATCCTTCCGCACTATTCACAACTCCACCGACTTTAGTGTCATTTGCAAATCTATTAACCCATCCTTCTATGCCCTCATCCAGGTCATTTATAAAAATGACAAACAGCAGTGGCCCCAAAACATCCTTGCGTTACACCACTAGTAACTGAACTCCAGAATGAACGTTTCCCATCAACCACCACCCTCTGTCATCTTAGTTAGCCAATTTCTGATCCAAACCGCTAAATCACCCTCAATCCCATGCCTCTGTATTTTCTGCAATAGCCTACTGTGGGGAGCCTTATCAAACGCTTTACTGAAATCTATATACACCACATCAACCGCTTTACGCTCATCCCCCTGTTTGGTCACCTTCTCGAAGAACTCAAGGTTTGTGAGGCATGTCCTACCCTTCACAAAACCGTGTTGACTATCCCTAATCAAATTATTCCTTTCTAGATGATTGTAAATCCTTTCTAGATGATTGTAAATCCTATCTCTTATAATCCTTTCCAACACTTTACCCACAACCAAAGTAAGGCTCACTGGTCTATAATTACCAGGGTTGTCTCTACTCCCCTTCTTGAACCAGGGGACAACATTTGCTATCCTCCAGTCTTCTGGCACTATTCCTGTAGACAATGACGACATAAAGATCAAAGCCAAAGGCTCTGCAATCTCCTCCCTCGCTTCCCAGAGAATCCTAGGATAAATCCCATCTGGCCCAGGGGACTTATCTATTTTCACACTTTCCAGAATTGCTAACACCTTCTCCTTATGCACCTTAATCCCGTCTAGTCTAATAGCCTGTATCTCCGTATTCTCCTCGACAACATTGTCTTTTTCCTGTGTGAATACTGACAAAAAATACTCATTTAACGCCTCTCCTATCTCTTCAGACTCCACACACAACTTCCCACTACTGTCCTTGACTGGCCCTAATCTTACTCTAGTCATTCTTTTATTCCTGACACACCTATAGAAAGCTTTAGGGTCTTCCTTGATCCTACCTGCTAAAGACTTCTCATGTCCCCTCCTGGCTTTTCTTAGCTCTCTCTTTAGATCCTTCCTGGCTAACTTGTAAACGTCAGCTTTCCTGCTCCTCTGATGCTGCTTGGCCTGCTGTGTTCATCCAGCTCTACAGCTTGTTATCTAGGTTTCCGTCTTTATTTTTGGGTGGGGAGAGGGAGGGAGAGGGAATGTGAGGGCTGAAGTGCAAGAAACACAAGAGATGCGATTGAAGGCACTCTCAATCACCAGAGCAGGAAAGTTGTGGTCCTTGAAATAGGATGACATCTGGGATGTGTGGGAGTGGAACACTCCGTCTTGGGAGCAGTGGGGGCATTGGGAGTAGGGGATTGCATTATTGCAGGAAGTGATTGAGGAGTTGTAGTTCAGGTCGCTGTTCGAGTCAGTGAAATAGATCTCAGTTTTGAGGTGGTCACCAGAGATGGAGGCAGAGAGGTCCAGGAAGGAGAGGGAGGTACTGGAGACAGGTGCAGGTAAATTTGAGGCTGGGGTGAAAGGGGTTAGTAAAGTTTAACTGTTCAAGCTCGTAGGAGCACGAGGCAGCGCCAATACAGCCATCGATGTGGTGGGAGATAGCACTAGTGTATCTGAGGAAGAGGAACTGTTCCATATATGCCCGCCTCTTCGTAGGCTAGCTTGGGCCCATGTGCATGCCAATGGCAACCCCCTTACAGGAGGAAGTGGAAGGCGTTAAAGGAGAAGTTAAGGACAAGCTCAGTTAAGCGGATGAGGGTGTTGGAGTGGAACTGGTTGGGCCTGCGGGAGAAGAAGCAGAGGGCTTTTAGGCCATCCATGTGGGGATCGAAGGGTACAGGGATTGAGAAGAAGATTAAGTGTTGGGGGCCAGGGAAGTAGAAGTTCTTTGCATCCAACATATTCTCTGCCACTTCTGCCATCTATAATCTGACCCCACAACCAAAGTGATATATCTCTCCCCACCCCTATCTGCCTTTCATAGGGATTGCTCTTTCCGCAACTCCCTCGTAAGCTCCACACTCCCAACTAACTCCTCCAGCCCCGCTACCTTTTGTTACTGTCAAAATCCTGGAATTACCTTGTTTACAGATTTGTGGGTATATCTACCGCCATGGACTTTAGTTCAAGAAGGCTGCTCACCTATGTTGCTGAGAACTATTATGGTTGGATAGTAAATGCTGATCTCGGC